TTCACCTTGCTGTCTTGGCATGCCACCATCATGCCATGGCCTTGGTTGGACATTGGCGCAAGGTGTTGCCAATGCCAAGCTTGCAGCCTCCAAGTAGAAGGTGCTAACACTAACCCACATTAATCTAGGTTTGCCCCTTCCTCTAACACTTCCCTTTACCATCACTGTATTGCATCTCTTCATTACTGCCTCTGTTAGTCTCCGTTTTATATGACCAATGTTGAGTTTGACACACTGATAGATCCAAGAATTATACCACAAATATATTTTATTAATCAACCTATACACAAACACTTGTGCACTATAATTGTGTACACGTAGGGCATTTTGTTATGAGGTTAACATGTAATACTTATGTCTTGGAACTCGAATGAATGAAAGGAATGTGGTTAGTTTATATGTAAATGCATGTCTTATCTGATGGGTTTAATGTTATTTTTTTGAGGGCGTTACATTCACTCCTGTCACTCTTTGATATACACACCAAGACTTCTCTCACTCGTACATCACACATACACTTGATGCTTTTTCTCACACATACATCATACATAAGATGACCCAACCTATATATATAGGTGCTGCCACCGACCTGTGATAGTTGGTTCTGTCCACCGACTTAGTTCCTAGAAGCTTCTTGTATTTTCATTTATTATTAATATACATACATATATATATATATATATATTTATATGTTGATATTTCTAGAGAGAGAGGACTCTAGAAAATTCCAAAGAGAGTGTTGAACTCTAACACTCCTCCTCAGCACTAACTCTCCTTTTTAAATTAAGTAACCACGCCACGTTGTTTTAGAAACTCTTCGTGAAGATATCTGCAACTTGATCCTCTGTCTTGAAGAGCTTCGTCTTTATCTTTCCTCGTGATAACCTCTTTCTTAGAAAGTGATAATGCACAGCCACATATCCAAGGAACACTTGATTCTCGAATGAATCGATCTCCAGCATTGGGCTTAGGTTTCAAATGCCAAGTCTAACTCTGCCTTGATGCAATACCTTCTTCTTCCATCATCTTCCTCCAACTGTTTGTTTCCTGAATCGTTATGTGCTTCTTTAAAGCATCCAGATTAGCAAAAGTTGTATCGGCGTACCTTTGATTGAGTTCCCTTTGCTTTAATTATGTTGGTTGTTGCAGCTTTATCACTTCTTCAACTTCTTATTCTGTTTGCTCCCCCAACTTCTCTTGTAGGTGAGCTTCTGGTTCTTTTACTCCTGAAGATTGAGAATCCGTTGCTAGAACTAACTCATTTGTGATAGAATATGCATCCACTTTCTTGGTAATTGTGTTGTACTGCTCCTGTTCACCTTCATGAAAGTCTATCTCTTCTTCTGAATCTGCTTTAGTGACCACAAACATTGTAGGAGATGCTTCAAAGTCCCATTCTTCTTTAAATTCAGGCTCTTCTTCTAAGTAGCTTAGTTTTGCGGTCTCGAACATTGAAGCTTGGAAATCCCATTCTTCTTCACTCTCATCATGGTAACCGTTGGATGTTACCACATTGCCTTCGACTGGTCTTCTTTTTAGCCGACAATCTTTTGTGTAGTGGCCAATCTCGCCACAGTTGAAGCATTCTCTGCTGTGTCGTCCAAATCTAGTAGGTCTTCGATCATTTTCATTCCTGTCATGTTGAACTCCTTGTTGATAACTTTGATCATCCTGCGATCTCTCATCTTCTTCTTTCTTTGATCTTTCATATTTTAGCCACTTCGGTCCATCCCTTCTGTTGCTACTGAATAACACTTCCTCTTTGCTTTCACACTTTAGTGTGACTTTAGCCATTTGCTTTGCCAGAGTTTCTTGATTCGCTAATAGACTTTCCAGCTTGACCAATGATGGTTGAGTGAACCATCCTCTAATGGCAGCCATAAGTCCACTATACTCGGGTCGTAAACCTCGAGTGATAATGCGCCTCATTCTGGACTCACTAATTTTTGACTCAGGATCAAATTGTGAAATTTCATTACAAAGAGTCTTTACCTTCAGAAAATATTGGCTGATAGTCATCAACCCTTGTGTGACTGTCGCAAGCTCGTTCTCTAGATATTGGAGTCGTGCATCATTCGTCTTTGAAAATAATGCCGCAAATGTGTCCCAAACTGCTTTTGGAGTAGTAGCTTCCTGAACATACTCCAATAACTCTATTTGGACAGTTGTCCTTAACACAAACATCGCTTTTCCAGCCTTGATCCTCCATTAGAGCAAGGCTTCTGCATTCTCTGCTCCGGGTGGGGCAGCATCCTTGCCGTCAACAATTTCCCATAGATCTTGCCCAAATTGATAACCATCACTTTTTGTTGAATCCCTCCGCCTACCTACTGATCTTAATGGATCCATAATTAGGCTCACTCTTCTAGTCTCGTCCCACTTATTTTTGTTGCGTTGCATAAAAACCAGTATTTCTATGTGGAGAGGAAAAGGATGCTCATCAAGTGAAATAGGCATGGTAGAATTGGCAATGGAGACCCTAACCAATGGTCGGTGTCATGATTTAAATCTCCATCGGGGATGGGTTGGGAATGGGTACCTGCCCATTTTGCCATATGTTTTGACATCCCTGTTTACGGCTAGGTTTCCATTTCTCACTCTCTCTCACTCTCACTCTCACTCCAGCATCAGCGATCTCCCTCTGCTGTCTCCAGCATGGTGAGTTCTCTCTCTCGTTCTCTCTTTCTCTCTTCTTCTCTTGTTTCTCTTTCTCTCTCGCGTTCAAATACTTAGTGTGGAATGTATACGCTTCTCTCTAATATTTTGATTTCTGAGCTATTTTTGCTTTGTTTATGGGTCTGATAGAGAAACCCATACGGGAGTCTGTAATGACTTTTGCGAGAATGCCTGGCCAGACTGTGTAGTCACATTTGTTGATGAAAATGAATGTAGCTACTGAAATTCCTGAGAAACAAACAAAGCACATGAGAATGAGTGAGAAACCAACTAAACACTAAATCCAAAACCCAGATGAAAGAAATGAGTGATCTGGTGGATTTACCTCTTGAAAGTGAAAACAGAGAGAGAGAAGCTGATACTGAACAGATCCATGTGGGTTTGTTGACTCTGTTTCTTGTCAGGTGGTTTGTTATTTTTATTTTTATTTGTTTGAGGTAAATGGAGGGTTTGGTGAGGTTTAGTTGGGAGGATATGGATTTTTTTTCTTCTTCTTTCCCCTTAGTGAATTAATTGTACCTTGCATTAATATTGAATTAATTGTCTTTGACATGAGCATCTTTTGTTTTGAGATTTTGAAGAAATAATGAGTTAGACTATCCATTGGGGTTATGGTTGGAAGATCTGATATCTTGCTTGTTTTATAATGATATGGTTCATTATTGGATTAGTAAAAACTTATTTGATTGTCTCAAGATTATAAATTTGATTACTTTAAAATAACCTTCTTAATTAATTAACTAATGTGTATTTGATTGTGCTGTTGAATCAAAAAATAATAATAATAAATAAAATTGAATGTGCATTTGGCTTTGGTTGTGAACCTTAAAAGAAAATTTAAAAAAAAAAAAAATCAAGTCAGGTTGGGGAAAACCCAAACCCATTAGGGATGGGGAGGGTACTCCCCATGGGGGATGGGGAATGGGGGACAGGAAATTAATATCCGCCCTGTTGCCCCCATTGCCATTCCTAAGGCATAGTAGGGGTACCTGCTCATTCTTTGTAAGAAGTTTATTTCCTCTTTTTGTGTTTGAATAGTATGCTCTTCGTATCTCTGTGAGCACTAAATCCACCCAAATTATTAGCAGGCCCAACTACATCGCTAACCAACCCTCCAACCGAATTGGGACCACCACCAGCATCAACCACAACCCTCTTACTATTATCAACCCATGCAACCATATGTGCCCAGACCGATCCAAAATGATCAGAAACGTGAACCACCCCAGACTTGGCCTGAAAGAGACCTGAGCCGTGGCACCCTCACATCCATTCTTCAAATTGAAATTCAAAAGGTCTCCACTTCACTGATTTTCACCATGAAGCCCACTATAACACTTTTCCTGTCTCATGTGCTTTCAACCTCTCCATTTCACATGCCACATCATTCCCCAAAAGTTTTGGGCCAAAACCAATGGGTTACAGCTTGGCTGCTTCAATTCAATCTTGGAAAGAAAAATGAAAATCGGAATTCTGTGTAGCTTCAAATTCTAACATCATTGCTCTCGATAGAGACGAGTCGAGAAACCAATGATTCACCTAGTAACTGATACTTCAATCACGACTTCGGAAGCACAACAAACGCAATTCGGGTCAAGAAACCAATGATTCTCCCAACATAGCTAAGCTTTGCTGATCAATTCAGAGCAAAATAGCATGAAAGTTGCATAGAAGATTCACTACCCTTGTACTCTCTCTATCTTGAACTTTCCTCTCACCCTTTCTTTAACCACCTTGTTATTCTGCTTAAAGACCCTCAAATGGCCAAACTTTCTGTGTCCCTCAACTAATACTCTCCTGTCCTTGCCAATAACGAACCCCAAAATCCTAGATATGGATACCCTGATTGAAGGAACAAAAAGAAGGAAAACTCCAAGCACAAAGCAAATACAAAGAGCATCAAAGAAGAAAAAGTGAAGTAGAATAGAGCCCTATCAACCGCGTGACAAAGAAACCCTAATCCATGACTAAGAGAAGAGACAGAAAAGGGAAACAAAATCAGAAGAAAAGAGAAAATGAAGATAGAAACTCAAAGAAATGATGGTTGAAGCCCATTAGGGCTCTGATCAAAAGCCGTTGGGCTCTGATCGAAAGCCCTAATCAGAACACGAAGAAATATGTGTGTGTGTGTGTGTGTGTATAACACTGACCAGCATCATCATCCTTGAAAAAGCACAATGTTGGTCTATAGACTATCGTCAAATAATGAAATGAAATTTTTTCTTTAATTATTGGTTTTGTATCTCCAAGCTATTATTAGACTGAAAATGTTGATAGTTTCATATGTTTCTTTTCTAATGCCTAAAAGTTTCTTTATTGTTCAGAATGAGCCAGCGGGCAGAATCTTGGAGCTATGTATTCTTCACTTGGCCATGTCTGAAATAACAGTGCTGGGAACAAGGCACCAAATAGTCATCAATGAGGTTTTCCTTGCAATTTTTGTTTCTTGGCTAATATTTTTCTCCTGTTTATTATGTTTCCATGTTCTTTGTCCACAGTTTTAATTCAATTATATGTGGGTATTGATGAAGGCTGTTGATATTGCAAAACGCTTCTGTGATGGGGCGGCCCCTCGTATAATCAATGGTTGCCTTAGTACATTTGTCAAGAATCTTGAAGAAAATGGTATAGCTCAAGGATTAGGAAGTAAGCAGACATTGTTCAATTGATCCATGACGTGAATTAATTCAAGGTGCCTCTCAACACCACTTCAATGAGTAATGTGCTAGTTAGCTGATGTTTGAGAATCTCAAGATCGAGCTATTTCTCCTCTTTGCATTGGTTCAAAACCGTTAAGAGATATTTTGGTGACTGGTTAACAACTGGTAGGGGAGACTATAGCATATGACGATGTTGTAAGTTGCAAGGTAAATCATAATTCCTGAAAAATGGGGGGAGAATGTAGAGCATATGATGATGTTGTAGGTTGGAGATTGAAATATAATAATTTTGTATTTTGACGTCCCCAGTCTAGCCCTAACCCACTACACCACTACCATCTCACCTACTCCACTAAACCTAACCCACTACACCACTACCATCTCACCTACTCCACTAAACCTAACCCACTACACCACTACCATCTCACCTACTCCACTAAACCTAACCCACTACACCACTACCATCTCACCTACTCCACTAAACCTAACCCACTACACCACTACCATCTCACCTACTCCACTAAACCTAACCCACTACACCACTACCATCTCACCTACTCCACTAAACCTAACCCACTACACCACTACCATCTCACCTACTCCACTAAACCTAACCCACTACACCACTACCATCTCACCTACTCCACTAAACCTAACCCACTACACCACTACCATCTCACCTACTCCACTAAACCTAACCCACTACACCACTACCATCTCACCTACTCCACTAAACCTAACCCACTACACCACTACCATCTCACCTACTCCACTAAACCTAACCCACTACACCACTACCATCTCACCTACTCCACTAAACCTAACCCACTACACCACTACCATCTCACCTACTCCACTAAACCTAACCCACTACACCACTACCATCTCACCTACTCCACTAAACCTAACCCACTACACCACTACCATCTCACCTACTCCACTAAACCTAACCCACTACACCACTACCATCTCACCTACTCCACTAAACCTAACCCACTACACCACTACCATCTCACCTACTCCACTAAACCTAACCCACTACACCACTACCATCTCACCTACTCCACTAAACCTAACCCACTACACCACTACCATCTCACCTACTCCACTAAACCTAACCCACTACACCACTACCATCTCACCTACTCCACTAAACCTAACCCACTACACCACTACCATCTCACCTACTCCACTAAACCTAACCCACTACACCACTACCATCTCACCTACTCCACTAAACCTAACCCACTACACCACTACCATCTCACCTACTCCACTAAACCTAACCCACTACACCACTACCATCTCACCTACTCCACTAAACCTAACCCACTACACCACTACCATCTCACCTACTCCACTAAACCTAACCCACTACACCACTACCATCTCACCTACTCCACTAAACCTAACCCACTACACCACTACCATCTCACCTACTCCACTAAACCTAACCCACTACACCACTACCACCTCCACTTCACCTACTCCTTACCTACTACACACTCACCCTCTTCTATATATAGGAATCATGAATCATTGTAATAGATATCAATAACATTACATCAATCAATAATAATACATACAATTTATTCTCTCTCTTTTTTTCTATACATTATTTCTTACATTATTTATTTATTTGGAACTAGGCAAGTGCCAAAATGGTTTCTTTGGCGGCTTTTTGATCTCTACTCTTCCAAGAAAAGTCGTTTCACTCTTGCTGCTAACTGCTAAGTCACTCTTCATTCTAAAGCTAAAGCTAAAGCACAGCTCTTTTTTTGCTATCATCCAGAAGGAATTAACGCTATTTATTGCCTCTGCTTATTTTCCTTTCGGATATTATTGCCTTTTCTTAATGGGAAATTTTCCGGTGTGCAATGCACACTGTATGTAACTCTGCATAAAATTATGTAAGTTGAATATAAATTTGCTCAAGTTCATGAAAACTTACGTGATTACACGAATTTGTGTTCAACTTACACATTTTTGTGAAATCACTTATATAAATTTGTAAAAATTGATGTAATTTTATGTAAGATTATATACAATATACATTGCACAGCGAATTTTTTTTTTTCTCAAGGTTTTAAGAAACATGGACATTTTTATAAATGAATTATAAAGTTGCTTGGTGCATGAGAAAACCTTCGAGTGTCCTGTTCGCATTTAAAAATTGTAACAAAAGGCTTTTTTGGCCAAAAACTCATTAAATTAAATTAAATTTCAAAGACAATCCGTGCCATTATTAGCATAAACACAAGTAAATAACACCAATTAAGGAAGGAAAATTTTTCAATGTGCAATGCATACCATATACACAAATTTATGTAAATTTTCACGAACTTACATAAGCAATCTTACAAAAATATACACATTTTCCAATTATTTTATCCATTATCTGTTTAGCTTGCTAGAAAGTTTATACAAAATTTAGTTTCCAACTTTTTCACCAAGCATAATTTTGTAATTTATTTTTTTATTTTTGATCTTCTCAAACCGCGGCTGTTTTCTAAGACTTTTTGTAATTTGTAATAGGTTTTTATCTTTTGTTGTTTTTGTACTCTGTTTTTCTTTTAATATATTGCCTGCTTTTTGGCTTCTCAACCAAAAATAAATAAATAAATAAAATTTGTAATTTATTTATTTATTTTTGATGGATCAGAACAAGTATTATATTATAGGATCACGTTTTGGTAGGAGGGACAACTGAACAGAAGAAAACCAGTTCCTTGCCTTTTCTTTCCCATCACTAAACAAACACAACCTTAAGAAGAGCAACAGTTGTTGGACACTTTCAGTTTCAGTTCCCAACTTGTCAAAGAAATATCATCTTTGTACCTACTAAATTTGGTGGGGAATTATTAACAACAGATTTCACAGTCAGTAATCACTACCCTCCTCCCGCATACATAGAATATTATTATTATTATTATAAAAGGAGAGGCCACTTCAAGAAAATCAAAAAAATTTCTCACCAAGTGTACTAGTACTAAACATTATAATCAGACTATCAATATTTATTTTCCACCAGAATGGCAAGAATCACTCATAATCTCTTATTGCATACAGTACATACATAAATATATACTACACATTCAATGTGGAATGGGATTGGGACAAGACACGACCAAAAAGTACTTTTGTTTCTTGGCTTTTCTCTTCCATTTTTGTCCACCACTTCTCATAATCTACACAATGCTGCTGTTGATGATCACATCACATCACATCATCTGTCTAATGAACGGAACACAACTTACATATTGAGGGGGCAGAGCAAAGCAGAGCAGAGTCGGTTGCTTAGTAATTCACTGTTGATTTGATTGCATCCAATATCTGCATAAAAAGTAGAGTGAGGAGCAAGGAGCAAGCAGAGAGTCCTCCATTGTCAGTGACAAACTACAACTTATATATCTGACACATGGGAGTATTATACATTACATATATGAATATGAATGCTTCTGTGCAAAAATGATTTTGTAATACCTTGTTCTTGGTGGGCATGTAGAAGGGTTCAAAAACAAGAGGAAAAGGAGTGTCCAGCCCGCAAATTCTAGCCACTGGAGCTTCTAACTACAAAACCCCCATCCCAAATTAAGTTTTCGACATCAGACAAAAAAGACTAGTTAGATCAATCCATATGCGCTATTATTATATCGTGTAACATCGATACTTCCAGGCAATGTCTTTAAAAGTACTACGCAAGTAATTTGAGCTCAGTTGAAGTATTTTGAATAGTATAGCAAGACTACAAAACCACTAATGTTTCTGAAAAATTGAAGCAAAATTACAGTTTATCCAAAGATATTTTACAAGGCATCAAAATTTTAATGCAATATGGCTTCTAAATAAGTTTATTTCAAAGTCTCATTGCATCTGCTTTTGTTCGTCTGCCTTTGGATTACAGTACCATGTGAACCCCCCTGACTTCATCTCACTCCACCACCTTCTGATATAGTCACTTTGGTTTGTGATAATTGATTCATTTGATGAATTTTGTTACACCTGACCAGATGCTTACATGTCTGCGGAGAAAAAAAAAAAAAAAAAAAACCACCAACCACTATGGAAAGACACCAAGGATAAACCTAGCCCAGGCCAGCTCCCATCACACTGCCCCTCTAAACCACAGCTTCCTTCTTACCATACCATAATTTACAGAGCACTTAACATTGTTAATTTCCTCTCTTTCCTAGAGTAAAACATCCCTTCAAGCTCTCAAGACCTTCTTTTGAAAGTTTCCTCAAATGACCTCTCTCTGTTTCTGCCTAGGGTTGCAAACCTATGTTATTTGGAACGTGGATCATTTTGGCAAGTGGAACGGGAACGGGGTATGTTAAATGCTCTAAAATATTGTACAACATGAGTAGATTTGTATACATTACACTATAAGAATTTAAAGTTCTACTATAAAATTTTTCTTTCAACAATTAGACATCTAATAAAAAGTAGGATTTTTTCTCCAAATTAATCATGTAGCAACACGATACTATAACCATTATGATCCATTTTTGATGTTTTGTTTTGTCAAAACTTCAATCACCTTTGCTTTTAGTATGCTATATTTGAATTTTTTTTTCTTTTTCGTTATTTACTTTTTAAAGGAAAAAGCTCCACAAGAATGATGTGGCAATATCATTTTGGTAAATAAATTCATTTTCATGGGTGTTTTATTTTAAAGTAAAAAGTCCACATTGAGCCACATCTTTCTGTATAATTTTTTTGTTTGTATATCATTACTCTTAGTAAATATATTGAAAAAAACTTTTGGGTTTGTAACGAAAGTGCAACATATTTCGGAACGTGCATTCCAAAACATAATAACATTGTTGCAAAAGAGCTAAGTTGTTCATAAACAGCTCAAACTTGGCTCATTTGCTAAATGAACAACCTCGAGCCTATTTTTTAGGCTCCTTTAGTAATCGAGCCTAACTCAAATAGACCCAAGCTCTGCTCGATAAGGCTAGTGAAACAATTAATATTTATAAATATAAATATTAATAATATATCAAAAATATTTCCATTAATTTATTTTATTTCTCTATTTATGTTTGGTATTTGTGTAAATTTACATATTTGATTGATGATATTTAGTATTAATACGAGTATTCTTTTATATTCTGCTCATAATTTGCACTTTTTTTTCCCTCTTAATATGCTTAGTATTTTAAGTTTGGCTTTTCTTTTCAACCTCCAGCTCCAGCTCCAGCATCATTTTTTAAGCTTAACTAATTTTTATCTAATCAAAGCTCTAACACTCCAAAACTTGGCTCGGAATGGCTTGTATGCGGCTCACGACAAATTTACGAACTCCCTAAAAAAGCTAGTGACACTTTACATGCCTGCGCCTTTTATTTCCTTGACTTTAGACATTTGTTGCTCATAGGCACATCTGGCGTCATTCTTTATGATTTCAGTTACCACAAGTTGAAATGTTAGTGTAACCCTGTTGTGTTTTTTAATTATTGAGATGTGTCAAATTCATTTACAGATTTCAGTTTGGGAAACTCAAATTTGATCAACTTGAGTTTGAGGGGTTGATGAGTAATAGTCAAGTAATTCTAGGTCTAAATATATTACTCTAAAGTAATTTAGTGCAATTATTAAGGGCAACTGAAGTTAACTTCATCCCAACACTGTCAAAACAAAGATGGCCAAAGTAAGCAGACACCGTTTTTGGTTATTTGTGTCGAGTTGAACTCCTAGTTGTCACCATTAAAGAGAGTTAATTTTCAAAAGGATAATGGGTTTGAGATTCATTCATCCCTACCGTGAAAAGTTGAAAACTATTGAACTTAACTGAGGATATTGCCTCTTCTCTTATCAAGAAAAAGCTACACACGCTATATTTGAAATGCTGCCAAGAGGAGACTACTTGCCCACTAGGTCCAAAACAAGGAGGAAGCATAGAAGAGAAAAAGTAGGAGAGAGAACCTACCTCATTGGAATCCACTGGCAAACACCTCTAACGGGTAGCACACCCAAAAGCTAGAGTTTCTCCTTATGAGTCACATAGCCATGCAATTTGCAAATAAACCTAATGCAAATGGGTGTCTAAAATTTACAAAATTGACACTTCCAATTTTATTATATTTAATTATTTCCCCTACATTCTAAAATTTTAAATTTTCAAATATTGCTAAAAATTTCTTCGATCAATTAATTTTGCAACAATGTGATTTTTGAAGTCAGATAAGCATGTTTTAATCAATTTTATTTTCACCATTTATTTTATTAATTTTAATATGTTACTAAAATTCCAAAAATGAAAAATGCAGAAATACTGTCGAAAGATTAGTTGGATGGGGATTTTACATCCTCCCCCGTCCCCCCAAAAAAGAAAGTCTCATCCTTGAAACACCTTACTCACATTACGCAAACAAGTGTGAGTACTGCTCATGCATCTCCTCCTCTACCCAATGCATCTAAAGCTGGTAGCCCCCATTCTAATCCCCCTTTCTGTGCCTGTGATCCAAAAACTAGGATTGGGTGCATGTTTTTGTTATTCAGTATTAGTATTTTCCTTATTTAAATACAAGTGATTATAAAATTTGATTGAGAACTTGAGTTGATACCTGCATTGGTTTTTCTTTCATATTTTTTTCTTTGGTGGTGGATGTTTTAGAAAATTTAAGTTTCTAAATAAATTCTTTTTTTTTTTATAATAATTTTAATACTCATATTTCACGATTTGATTCTGGTTGACCCGACGGTTGAACTAACAACCCTTACCGTGGCATGTTTTTTGGTTTACTCAATGGTCTGGTTTCAAAACATTGGCTACTACATCATTATATCAAGCACCCATAAAGAAATCAAGCTTGGCATTTTACTGAAAGCAACCAACTAATAATAAACTCTATAGGGAAATAAGCAATGGAATTGTGCCAAATTTACCCTCAAGAAGCAACGTTCGACAATGGAAGCAGAAATTTCAGCGCCAAATCCACCAGTTACTGGAGCTTCATGACTAATCTACAAATAAAAAACCAGACAGATCACCAAGAGTTGCAACACATCTTTCAGGAAGCATATTTGCATTGATTGTACTACTTACAAGAAGCCTTCCAGTCTTTTTAACGGAGGTCTCTACTGTTTCCTTGTCCCAAGGTATTAGAGTTTTTAGGTCTATCAGTTCACAAGAAATTCCATCCTGCAAACCTCCATGAGTCAATTAACCAATATACAGACACAAGTACGGGTGTGTTGCATGCACACACATACAAAAAATTCAGAGAAAGAGGGTCAAAATCTTGTAGTTTAAATTACTGTATAGCATGTGAAAATTACAAATAATAATTCATAATGGAACAAAGTAAACCCCACCTGTTAACATATTTCTGATTCTTTTGATGTGAATAATTTTTGTGATTTGGAAGTTAATCAGAAATATATCGTATATCATTTGAAAATTTTAAACAACAGGAGAGCAAAAACGAATGGGACTTCAAGAAGTATAAAAGACACTCAAAACATTCTTTTTAACTCTTATGACAACTTGAAAATTCATTCCAAAATGTTTATATTTGTTGATAAATTGTGGATAATTGATTGTATACTTAAATTATACAATATTAAATTTCTTCTATAATAAAAGAACATTAACAAAATAGAAGAATTTTATCAAAAGAAACATTCACCTTTTCTGCCTCAACACAGGCCTGTTCCATGACAGATAGCTGAGCTCCCCATCCAACCAGTGTTATGTCACTACCTTCTCGAATCACCTGAATTTGAATTATGCAATTTCTTCAGATTTAGTATCCGCAACCAATTATAGAACTAAAAATAGCGTACCTCTGCCTCTGATAGAGGCAACATATAATCATGCTCTGGAACCTCTTCCACGGCCAAACGGTAAAGCCACTGAAAGTCCAAGACATTAAAATTAATCATGATCTTACAATTTTCATTTGATATGATTCGATCAATGATTCAAAGAAATTAATGTAGATAAATGCAATACCTTTGGTTCAAAGAAGACAACAGGGTTTGGGTCACGTATGGATGATAATAATAACCCTTTTGCTTGTCTAGGGCTTCGAGGAATGACAACCTACAAACAATCTACCATTGAGATATTCGGAAACTAAGTCTGTACTCTCTACTTGTAAACAACACAAGAAACCCAGTTCCCTCAACTAGCTTTGGAAACTAGAGAAAGAAAAAGAAATCCAAGCTCCTCAATAGTAAACTCTAAAAGCCACATCAGTGTCATATGGAATAACCCTATAAATCTTGTAAAAACTGATGGAAATCAACTAATTGGAAGATGCAGACCAAAACCAACAAGTCATTCAAACAAATCAAGGATCATAATCTAATTGGTCAGCATTTTCTTCCATACACAGAATAGTAAACGTCCATAGTTCTGTCTAGGAAACATAAAACCCCCCCCCTTTTCTCCTCTCAAACTATCACACTTGAAATATTGACATTAGTTCCCTTCACTCCAAACTGTTAATAAGGTTAGTATTTTTGATGAAATATTGAACTTGTCTGCAGAAGTGTGATTAACTGAATCTATGTTTCACTTTGCCCTATAGTAATAATTAGATAGATAAGGAGACAAATATCCTGATAACAAACAACAAAACTGATGCAGAATATAAGAAACTCAAGGAAAAGTAAATTTAAAGAAGTGACAACATTTGGAAATTGGCATGATTCAAAGACAAACTGATAGGAACCATTCATAATCATGTTTTTAGTATTATTAGAGTCTTATTTTATGATTAGTTTATATTTTCTAGGATTTTTAGGTCAAGGGTTTCTTGGTAAATTTTATATTTGCTGATATGGGTTGTAGGGGTTGCCCATAGGTCATCTTGTGGGTCAAACTATTTAATTGGGTTTTATTTATGTTTCTTATTTAGTTTTAGAAGTCAAAGATATTTTAGTAGTTTCATTTTTTGGTTATGGTTGAATTAGGAAGTTTCAAGTCTATATAAAATCATGTAATGCTTCTAGTTCAAGAGAGTTGATATTTTATAAAAATTTGAGAGCTTTGAAGCTTCTTTATGAATTGTCTGATGCAATCAAACCCTAGGTGTGATGCCTAAACCTATCTTCTTTCTTTTTCTTTTCTCCTTTCTTTCTTTCTTTCTTAAATTTTAGCACTTTCACGGCCCCAAAACAGTCCTTACAGCGCTGTCCTGCATAAAAAACACAACAAATTGTAGCAAACTAGAGCCTCTGGCTATAACCAAATTAAGCAAATCACAAGTGTAGACAACAGATTTTTTGCCGGCCCTACGACTCGGCTCAGGCACCCTTGAAGTGACCCCTCAATGATGAAACAAAAATGGATCTCGATTATCTTCAAGCAAGCCTTTCAAATGAAGTACCCAAACTTAAACCCTCTTCAGCCAAATACATTCTCAAGCCTTAAAATCTTTTCGAATAAGAGTCTTCAAGGATTAAAGATGTCATTTCGAGCATTTGACCAAGTCCAACTCCACCTTTTCAAAACCAAAACCTTGTTTCTTTAAAAAAAGTGAGCAAAGACGAAGTTGCATTGCATGAAAGGAGGGAAAACATTCAAGAAAACATCAGCTGCAGGTATTTATGACACTCTGCAGGTTTTAAAAACCTGCGGATGATCACGTGGGCTAGAGCATATCTGCAGATGCTCATCATATCCACAGATGATCACACGAGCAAAATCACAACCGTGGTTGCTCACGTAGACAAGATCATACTTGCGGAGGCTCACCCGGCAAGACAAACTGTACGGCCACCATTGACTTAGCCTTAGGCTGCAGGTCATACATGCTTCAGCAGGTGGTATGAGGCGGCCGCAGGTCCCCCTAGCATCTTGGAATATCCCATATGCATATATATCGAATATATACATGTATGGCATATTCTTGTTGTCACGCCTCAATTTTCAAAGATCAATTAGGCAGAAATTAATTAACCAAAGCATGAGCTTGTTAAATAAAACTCTTTTTATTGCTTAGTAATAGTTCACACTCGAGATCACTTTTCTTAGCCAATTCTCATTAAATTATCAAATTAGGTTTGCCTCGTAAAATGTGCCCAATGGCCTTAGATTGGATGGGGTAGGAAAACATGTCCATTTTTCCTTTATAGAGCCTAACTTAACTTTAGGTGACAAAACAAGGTGTTTTTGATAAAATACGGCTTGCATTGAGAAATGTGCCATTTAATACCTTTTGAAATAATTCACCCTTTAAGTTCAGAAACTCTAGGGTTCTCTCACATACTAAACACGTCCTCACTTGGCGCACAAACCAACAAAGTGAAGTATATCACGCAATAACAGATATAAATATTTAAGTTACAAACCTGAAATTAAGGCCTTATTTGTCATAACTTAAAAAAGTCAAAAAATCAAAAAGTCACTATCCTATTTAAGTCACATCATCTTATTTAAGTCACATTATCTCTCTACCACATCGTTTCAAACCCAACCCATACCTGTAGACACCCCAATTTTGACTGGCCCTAAGACTTGAGCGCTTTCTTTTAATTACTCGATGATGACAATTAGAATGTGTTTCTCACAGAATCCTCAGTAAGAGAGATGAAATATAAACTTTAATCACAACCTTTACCATTATGGCCAAATTGTTTTAAAATACTGAATATTTCATTAGTTTAGTATTTTTGTAATTTTGCATAATTTTATTTGTTTGTTCATGCTTTTGGTGTTTTTATGTTTTTATATAAATTGGTATAAATTATATATTTGATATATATAAAAGAAAATAATAAAAAAAGTTATATTATTATATTATATGGCTCCCACTTCAAGAAGGAGGTGATAGACTTGTTGGAGCAATACAATGTTGCTTTTCATAAGTCATCTACATATCGACCACAAACCAATGGAGCTGTTGAGGCCGCCAATAAGAATATCAAACATATGTTGCAGAAGATGGTTGAGCCCTATAGGGACTGACCAGATAAATTGCCATTCGCACTTTGAGGCTATAGAACTTCAATCCGGACGTCTACAGGGGCAACTCCTTATTCTCTTGTTTATAGTATGGAAGTTGTTCTGCCAATTGAAATTAAAGTACCATCATTGCGGGTTATGGTTGAGTGTCAAATAGCAGAGGCCGACTGGTAACAGAGTAGATTTGAGGAATTAATGTTGTTTGATGAAAGAAGGCTGAAGGCATTGTATTATGTACAGGGCGACCAACGCAGAATTGCTAAGGATTTTAACAAGAAGGTTAAGTCTAGGAATCTCAAGAAAGGAGATCTGGTGCTCAAAGCCAACCAAGCTCCTATCCGTGACCCTAGGGGCAAGTTTAGACCCAATTGGACTGGTCCTTACATCATCAAGTCTATCTGATCAGGAGGAGTAGTCATTCTCATGGACTTAGATGGTCTGAAATTTTTCCAACCGATCAACACGGACAAATTAAAGAAATATTATCCCTGAGAGGCTCACTAGGCCGAAAGCCCGGAAGGGCAACCTAGGCAAAAGTTAGAGCATAAAAAATTAGAAATGAAGAAAAACTGAGCTCGTAAGGTTGAAAACCCTAAAGGGCGACCTTGGCAAAAGTTAGAACGCAAAAGGAGAGTGTTAATACTCGAGTGAACTTGAACCGAACTACGTAAGGCCTGATTCCCATCTTCGGGATACGTAGGCAACTTCATCCTAAAGTTCGGTTGTAATCAATTCTAGCTCAATCGTCCTGTCCATTTTGTTGATCAAGTCATCTTTCTCTGTTATTTACCTGAGGGTTTGGTTGTCACCTTACTTTGAGAGAAAAGTTGGGTACAATGCAGAGTAGTGGTATTCAATCAAGGGGCAATTATGATCTTTTGATCCAGCATTATACATTTTGAGGATTGATTCCGTACGTGTCAAGTGGTGATCCTTTTCGAAAATGGTTTTTGAGAAGTTTTAATAAAAGTTGATTTTGTTCAAATTTTACCTTTTACAACTTAGACCATTTTTGGACTAAAAGGAAAATTTTCAGCGCTCACAACATTAATTTCATTGATTTCAAACTTAAAGTTCTCCAAATCTCTGATACAAATCAAAGTTACTTTTATTACAATCAACAAAAAAACTTGAAAAAAAAGGTCGAAGCAATAGACTAGTGGCATAGAAGGAGCAATGCATGACAGCTAGACAGCACTGACCGACCTCTTTTTGAAGCCCAGCCGGGTCTAGGTGGTGGCCCAGACCAGTGCAGATGCAGCAATGCAAAAGCTGGTCCTTTGTCCTAGCATGTCGCGGCTATGTTTTGAGTACTGTTTGTACCAAGTGCCTTTTAGTATTTTTGAGTTGTTTTCATTTCATTTTCCTGTTATCGAGTTACATTTTACATATTTGTCCGGTTGTGGGTCGTTATCCGATTCAAGAACGAATGCAAGAGCAGGTATTCACAGTTTTAAGTCCTGTACAATGCTACCATTCATCACATGCCATTCATCACACATTATGCGAGGAGATCATCCAAAAAACTTTTCTTTTATAAACTGGTGGGTCCAACCCCGATCAATAAAACAAAAGAAAAGTCTTCTAATACAGCTAGTCTATTAAAAGCTAGTGTTTAAACTACAAAGAAAAAACAAAAAACAAAAAAACAAAAAACAAAAAAAGAAAAGAGGAATTTTGTTTTTGTTTTGTTCCAATAATTCGTAAGTTGTTCTGTTCTTTCGTGTGTTGGTATTCTGTCCCGTACCTGTACTATCGAGTTTTTATCGCCGGAAAATGTATAGTAATTTTCGTCGGCAATGCTTTTCCGATGAGTGGTTGACCAAGTGATCAACTAGTGTTGCTCTGTTTTGTGTCCATTTTGTGTCCAGTTCATCGAGTTTTTGTCATTTCATCGAGTTTCGATTTGTGTTATGATTAGTGAGAGGCTTAATTTTTAGTTCAGAACTTATTCCCAAAATTCCAAATATGCATACCATTCGGATTTGCACAAAAAACTACACACACACACACACACATAACAACAACAAGAAAAAAATAAACAAACAAACAAACAAACCCATTTTATTAATATCAGGAACTAACCCTGATCATATTTGTATAAGCATATATACAAATAAAAAAAATAAAAT